CAATTAACACGACATTTTCTCGTTTGGAGCCACGCCCTTTCATTGCCGGTCAAAAGACCATAGCTATGAATGTTTGTCTGAACAAGACATATTTTCGGACCCAGAGACGTCTGTGATGCGAAAACATCCCTCACTTCAACAGTACAACTTAGTCAGTCATTAGACATTTCCGGCTACAACGCCCAAGCAGCAATCCATAATAAGCTGGAATAGGGCGAGGCCACACATGTTTTCGTAGCAATCTTTCAGACGAGTGCTATTTTACTAGCCCATTTGCGAGGCTCAAGAAGAACCACCCGTGTTTTTTTTCGAGAAAAATAGCAAGTGTGTTGAGTAGTGTTGATACGAAGTGGTCTAGATCACGGAGGCAATTGCATTGACCGGTAAGATGATAAAGAAAACTTTGAATTCAAATAAGAACTCCCGGTAACTACGTCTATCTAACCTAGCCACAAACATTCTTTTTTAAAGGAGTTAACGAGGAACGGTGAATTTTAATGGCCCTATGACTTCACTGGGTTGCTTTGCATCCATTACAACTGAAAGTTTGCACGTAACTTGAATCTTCAAAGCAATTTTATATAGTAAACCAGCGAACCAAAAACTGCATTCTAGTTCGACGAGGCTATTGTACCGGAATTCATGACATTTCATCCTCCAAATGAACGATTTGGACGTAGTAAGTTCGACATCACCGAGTGAGGTGATGTGAAAGGGAATGTACAGTTAGTTTTGAAACAAAACCCAATAAACGTTTCATCTTAGTCCGTAGTCATCACATTTCACTAGAATGGTGCGTACCAGATCCTCTAAAGGAACTGTCATTTTGATGACAGGCAACGATTCAAAATCAAGGCGAAAATTCTCTTTTGGGATAAGGATAATTTGTTACATTAGAGGAGGTGGGACGTCACCGAATATTATATATACATGTACATATATATATATATATTTATGTAAGATCTCAATATCTTCCCAAACAATTCAAGATTCTATCCAAAATTTGGCCTTATGTCTTTTGGTTCATTAACAAGGTGCAATAGACTGCCGCGTTAGATTAGGCTCGGGGCGATATGGACCTCTGATCATATCAAACGTGCCTCGAGACGACAGCAGAAATTGCGTAACGCGATTGACAAAGTGGTGATCCATGTTGAATCTTATCATTTGTTGTCTACTGAAAAACACAATTTTTTTTAAAATAGTCAGTTGCGTTTCAGAGTTAGCTGGTCCATCCGGATAGCAACAAGGCCGCCGACACTTATGGGGAGGTTTTGTGAGAAATATACTACCGACTACCGAGAGAAAATCAAAGCGATAACAGGATTACGCCCACACTAATCCATCTTTTTCTGCTTTGTTACGAAAGTATGGAATGAAGAAACTCAAAAAAATCATCAAATGTTCTTGATGTAACCAAACTTATTTGATCAGTTTTGGGCAAACATCTCGCAGATAGCCTACCAGGGTAAGTCTTAATCTAACAACGGATAGAAACAACAGGTTACACGCTCGCCTTGCATGTCAGATGTCCGGGGTTCGAATCCCGGCACGGCCATCGGATATGCACTGCTGATGAGCTCTAATAAGAGCGAAACTTGAGTCCAGTGCTTGCCTTTGGTGTGGACTCACCGAATAATTACGCCAGAACAGGAACATGGCCGTTCAAACGAGAGTGGTGTGGCTATGAACAAAACATTGAATTCCTCGTCGGTTCAGCCCAACTATGGGATTCTTACGAGTTTCGAGTAATAAAAGATGTGTGAAATCAAAAGCTTTCGAATTAGTTTGTGCGGGTCAGATTCAAAGCACCTCTTGAGGAGGGAAGGAAAAGTTACTACCCTAAACTCTTCGTGCTTTTACTCTACGTGATGACTCTTTAAGGAAAACTTAGTACTATGGAATAATCAGGCTGATATTATCGGATCTTCACAATTCTTTTTGAGGATCTGGTACGCACCTTGCTAGTGAAATGGGATAACTGCGGACAAAGATGAAATGTTTATTGGATTTTGTTTCAAAACTGACTACACATTCCTTTTTACCTCGCCTCACTCGGTGATGTTGAGTTTACTAGGTCCAAATGGTTCATTTGGAGGATGCAATGTCGTGAATTTCGGTACGATAGCCTCGTCGAATTAGAATGCAGTATTTTGTTCCCTGGTTTGTTAATTAAACTTACTTTGAAGATTCAGGTTTTTTGCAAACCTACATTTGTAATAGAATGGCTTAAATCAACGAAATCTTCCGTCTGCCAAAAATCACATCCAAATTACAATCTAAAGTTCGAGTGGGTGAAAGAGAATTACTTAGCAAATACATCGGAGCATACCTCTGAAGATATTGCAGTGCTTAAAAACAATGCCGCTAGTTATCCAACTGGTGAGACAGAGTTGAATGACCGTATTGACCCGAAAAATCTTGGAAAAATGCTGAAATCAATGTCAAAGGCAAATGCACTGCCTGATACTGCTTTTCGTGATTCACACAGGAAAAATGTCGTGCAAAAACAGTGGCAGCAGTGGTTTGTCTGGATTGATGAGCCGGTGTCCATGGGTGATATTTGGAATGAACTTTCGTTAGACAGACAAAGACAACATTTAGGTCGAAGAAATGGAGACCCAAGATCATTCGACGGAATGGGATAGTGGCAACCAGCGGACAAAAGAATCAAAATCCTTCAAGCTGGAAGTAATATCAAATTCATTTCTTCGGTTATCCTTGTCTGTTCGTCCGAAGTCTCATCTGTGACAAACACTCTGCAGTACAAGAATCGTTAACCGGGAAAAGATAGACCAATGTTAGATGGTGAAATCCAAAAATGAACTACGTCATTGGTATCCTGAAGACAGATTTGATGTACAGTACCTGTCAAAGTAAGTCATCCTTTTTCAGTTACACGCGGTCACTGCCTGTGGGCTCTGGATCACAGCGTGTTTCATTTTCTTGGTGCTATTCCACGGCAAACATCAATACGTTCTTGGAGATACACAATTATTCGCTAACAAATTTTGTTATGTGAGAGACTGACCTAGAAAACCCAGCTGAATATCTCATTTATGATGTTTCTAGGCACCAGGCCACCTCACGTTTCATTTCGTACGATATTCGAGATATCGCAATGCATGTATGGCTGTAATAGACTACCCACAGGGTTGCTGAAAATTCTTCGACAGAACACGACCGGTTTTCGCCCTTCTTGGGGCTGATCAGGAAGGCGCCGTCCCTGAGTTTTCGTCAACTTAAATCGCACGATTGGTTCGTACCTGGTTTAAGTTGCTTTATGTCCTTTCTTTCTTAATTTTGGTCCGTCATGATGCCGATTTTTGTCTTTGTTAGTTTTTTTCCGTCAGTTTGATTGGCCCGTTCATATTGTGTACCGTGCATTCTTTGTTCTTACTTGGGCTGATGTGTGACAATTACTTCAGTCGACTTTGTGTACTTCCTGATCTTCGTGTACAGAGACGAGTGAAAATTGGTCGTCTTTCGGTTGCAAGCTTGTTTCCGAGTATTCTGGTGAAGAGCTTCGGTCCTGTTTGTCCCACGTAGTGTTTGTCAAAATCTCCTCACTGAATCTTGTATACGACTTTAGTTCTCAACACTGTGTCTAACCGTCGTTTTGGTTTGAGGTGCCCGCAGGTTTGTGGACCACAGTTTAGTTGTGCTGCCATAAGAACCGTGCGGTCATTTCCTAGATGTTGTTGACGCATGTAAGTGTGGTCTTTTTGCTTTCACCTCGTGCTACTTAGTTGACCGAATGGGTTATCTGAGAGTCTGCCAGATGAGATTCCTGTGCTTTCCATTTCTCTGAAAAGCTTTGTACAAGTGTTCTTCTTCTCTGGCTTTTGGCTCCCTAGTGTTGTAGTGCGTCTCAGGACGCTTGAAAAGGGTCCGAACGAAGTTTTGTTTGAGACATTTAAGATGGTTTTTGAGAATTAGGTCTGTATGCGCTGTCTGTCCCCAGACCTTTATCTAAAGTTGTCAGTTGGGTAATTCGTGAGGAAACGTCCAAGAATGCCCGTTTTCCGCCGGTGTCTTCTTCCATTGTGAATTAAATCTTATCAAAAACGCTATTTGTTTGTTGATCTGTTTGTTGTGGTGCACCGATTTTGATAATAGCAAAAGATTCGTCCATGTAGCGGATCCATATATTGGGATTTATGCCTAGAAGTGCAACTCGTCTCAGTTTATGCAGCACACTCAGTTGCCTGAGAACACCATAAACGAGAGATTCAGCTGGGTTCCAGGTGAGTCTCTCGAAAGAACCAAATTAGTTTTCAGATGAGTATATATTCGCTAATGTTTCAACCTACTTTCGGGTTATTTCGAGAAGTTGTGAGTTGAAGTCCTCGGGAATGACACGTTTGATAGTAACGGTGCTGCCGATACGTTGGGCTGCGAGGAAGGCTGCATTTTTGCAGGCATTCATGGAGGAAGTGGGGCTATCGTTGTGTGAAGGCTTGGCGAAAGGCGAAAGTCTCCCATTGACGAGCTGTTTTAAGCGTACAACGCCCGAATCGTGTCAACTTGACCCCTTTCTTGGATTGTCTTCTATTTAATCAGTGGAGGAAGTGGAGCTATCGTTGTGTGAAGGCTTGGCGGAAGGCGAAAGTCTCCCATCGACGAGCTGTTTTAAGCGTACAACGCCCCAATCGTGTCAACTTGATCCCTTTCTTGGATTGTCTTCTATTTAATCGCACAACCTTACTAATGGACTCTGCACCTGGTTTACTTTTGAAAACGTCCACTACTGGATGATTGGTTTGATTATTTAGCTTGCATTGCATCTCTTTCCTATTTTGTAATATTGCTGTGAATTTCTGTATCGCAATTTCATTTGGGGCGCCAAGGCTTTAATTTAATTCAACTGTCTGACCAGTGTGTTTTGACTGCTGATTAACCGCGCATTTCTGAAACCTTTGGAGGCAAGCAGCAAATTTTACTGTACTGCAACGAAAACAAAAAAACAGATTTTCAGTTGAAGTAAGGTTTTACTTGCTCGCCAGATACATTCTTACACAGGCAAAGATATTCCTGCCTTTTTAAAGGTTTTGGCCCTTGAGTATATTTTTTTACCTAGAGTACATTGAAGTACATGATTTTCCAGGAAAGGTCGAGATGGATGCAACAAAATAAGTTTCCTAATGCGAACATGTTTGTCGTGAAGTCGTTGCATAGACCCGGAATATTGCTCAGATTGTGTTTATCCCTTCAGTCCTTCCAGTCCTTTGCCTTCAGAAGTTCCACTGGTGTGTACTGACAGCACATATATGTTTTCTAGTCGAGCTGCTTTGAGCAGATGCTGAGCTGCCTGATAGACTTGCTGCAATGGGAACAAAACAAAACATTCTTCGTATGGAGGAGAACGTAAAGAAATATCAACGAGTAATACATGGCTTACTCAGGAAACCCTTTCGAACACGTTCGCTTGAACCACTCAAAACGGACTCCCTCATCAGCCACTGTGGTCTAAATTCTCCAACGATCTGTATAAGTAGTCACTCTCAGCTAACTAGTTTGTGGGCTTTTAATTATGGTACTAATTACTTATGTGTTGGACCTCACAACCCTATTTGCTTATACAATCCATGTCTTTTGTAAATCTTATTCTGATTCTGTGCATGAAGACCAAAGTCCTGTTATGAGTCGGTTGTACGAATCTGGTCACCAAGTTTTTCGTAGTTGTTCAGATATACCGCGTGGAGTCAAGTATCTAACGCGCGACTGTGCTCATAGACAGATAACCACATCCCGGGTCAAATGTCAGTGAACTCAGTGGATCTGTCATGATGCATGAATTTGGAAAGACAAAGTCATATCCTCCCACTATTTTCAGCACTAGGTTATGAAGAGTATCAATTGTTTTTACCTAAGCTTTCATTATCCTTGGGGGTATCGCAACAAGAATGTTCTGTTCATGAGAATGACGCACGAATATAAATAGTAACAGGATCTTGTCGACATCAGCATACTGCCCTTCATAAGTGATCAGAAGACCAACATCAGTTTAATCCAGTTCCTCAGTTCGGCGTGGTCCTCAAAATAAAGGATATATTTCCATGCTGGTCAACTTGTTTTATTTACACTCTAAAGTAGAGATAATACGAGTAGCAAATGTTTCAAACTATGGTTGAAAGCAAGCCAATATGAAAAGTAGTCTCAGAGTTTCAAAAAGTACAACCAGAATCAAAGGATAAAGTAGGGTAACTTGTCATTCATCGGAAATTTGATATGAGAAAAAATCACTCTTGGAACTCACCAGAATATTTTCAGTTGTTTCTTCGTCTGTATCGGTGAAGTAGTTCAGTGAGGGTCTCATCTGTTCGTGTATTACGGAACGTTTTGGTAGGAAATAACGAGTTCTCTGGGGCTGCTGGGAATATCTGACTTCTTCTCCACCAGAAGGTATGTCACTTGTCCAGGAATCTCTTGGTAAAAGCTTCGTGTGGACTTTACTCATAGAGGAATGACGAAAATCTAGTTTGTCCTTCCAAGCCAGTTTTGCTGTTTGTGACTTGGTATACTGTTCAGGAGACAGATCCTGGCCCTTCAGATCACAGAACCGAAGGAGAGAGAGGTACGTTTAGGATAAAACAGATGGGATGAAAGCAGCTTTTGAGCAGAGGTCATCTAGACCATACTCAGGTCAAAATTGCCCAACGAGCAAATTGCTTATTACTAATAACCTTTAGCTATGTGTTTGAACCTATATTAATTTGTCGTGTTGCTGTTTCTAGTAAAGACATCTATAGAGCGAAACATCTGTGTGACAAAATTTTGACGTGGAGAACCAAGGACAACTGTGGTTTCCAGATATATTAATGGACTTAATTATTACAAATTTTATGAACATGTAGAACCCCATCAACATCATGCTTGTCGCTGTCTCATAACAAAGAAACGTGATAAGACGAATCGCATTCATGTTCACCGGGCGACGACAGGTCCTGATAAGACCGGACCACAACGTGCGTGGCCAGTCATCAGCTAAACCCCATAACCTGCGTGCAGTCTCACTAATTTTTAACCTAAACTCAGCGGCCAGATTTGCGTTGGAAAAACTTAATAAGCGGAAGCGCTTTTCCAACGCCACAGCTAACTTCTGTTCCTAGTGCTATTCATAAGCATCTCTTTCGTCGGAGGGCAATTTGGTCTGATTGTGCGCCGTAAGATGCTAAAAAAACTTTGCTGGAGCTTAAGCCTTAAGTCAATTCGCCATAGTATATCGTAATTTGGTGTACAGTTGCAATAACGAGACTTAAAAGGTAATATAAAATCTTGCCGTTTTTCTCCGTACGCTTCGAGCTCGAATTTGTAAGTGAATGAATGGCAGAAGTGAAACATCAGATTGGGCCCCAAATCCTTCAGTTTTTATTGTATTATTGTTCAGCAAGTACCTACAAACTGAACATTTCCTGCATTGCAGTCTATTGTGGTTTATAGGCAATCAAACGATGATTTTATTCAGTAGCATCAGCCCATGTTTACTCAACCCATGTGGGGACTGCTGGATTTTTTAGGTGATTACTCCATATATGTGTTTCCAGGTTCTTCACTTTGATACACAACATAATGCTTCACCAGTTAAAAGAGTATCGAGATCCGTCACTGGCCAGGACAACAGATGACCGTAGCAATTTTCTGATGATTTGGAGCTGTTCTATGGGAGCCAATCGAGAGAGAGCATCTGAAGCCGATATCAACTAAAGAGGTGCCGTTCTTGAGCTTGGTTCGTCCTTGAGGATTCGGACCGAGATTAACAAAAAAGGTTAGATAATTATTTTTTCCTAAATTTACTTTGTGAAGGATAGGTTGTGTGTGTACAAAGTTCAAAAGCTCTGTGCAACATCCATGGGCAGTTTGTCTTTATATCCACATAGTGTAGAGCTATTTGCACGCGGCAGCAATCGACATTTTTCGCCCTTAGTTATATTGAGATGAAATTGTCACAGTTCACAGCGACCTGTTGAATGTAATCACTGTTGAATGTAATCACAAAAATTCACGGTATGAGTCATTTTGGTTCTTGCTATTTCCCGATTGGTTACCTGGGAGAACGCAGGTATTCTTTTTTCTTCTCCAATATTTGTAGTACCTGACATGACAGACGGGTTCATGGACAGAATTCACTGCAGACAATCTACCGGAAGGTGTTTTAAAGGAAGACCACAGAATTCTCTGGCTTTTATTGTCGCGTTTTCTCTTCCTCCGCGTACAGTATTTCTACCCCATACACAGCTTTATTGCAGGCAAACAAAAGTAAGTATTAACATATCTAATAGCAAACACCAAACTTCAAAGATCCCAGTGTTTCTTACGAAAGAGAGCTTTGAGACAGGTGCTTGGGTTTGATGCTACTGATAAGACTCAGAGAAGTCAAACTGGCAAAACAGTAAATATTGGTTGTTTCATTAGCCTAAAAGTGAACTTTCTTAGACAGACAAATTAATGTTCAGTGTGTGGTCACTTTGGTCTGAGCTGATGTGATCGCCAGAAGTGGAGTTGCTGGACAAGCGCTACGGCGTTTGTCGAATCTATCACCTTTCAGCGAGCTTACTTTGTTCTACGTTGCCACTGCTTACGTTCTGCATGTAGAGGATGTAAGGTTAGCCAACCCATTTCTACGTCTAAACAAAATTGACCGACCGGTCTGTCTTTGTGGTCCACCGACTCAGTAATAAATTAGATGTTTGCCTCGGCCCACTAGACATCTTTCACAAGACACTTCCTCCCATCCGCAGGCCTCCTAGTAAATATTGGTTGTTTCGTTAGCCTAAAAGTGAACTTTCTTAGAGAGACAAATTAATGTTCAGTGTGTGTTCACTTGGGTCTGAGCTGATGTGATCGCCATGAGTGGAGTGGCTGGACAAGCGCTATTGCGTTTGTCGAATCTATCGCCTTTCAGCGAGCTTACTTTGTTCTACGTGGCCACTGCTTACGTTCTGCACGTAGAGGATGTAAGGTTAGCCAACCCATTTCTACGTCTAAACAAAATTGACCGTGTTGTCTGTCTTTGTGGTCCACCGACTCAGTAATAAATTAGATGTTTGCCTCGGCCCACTAGACATCTTTCACAAGACACTTCCTCCCATCCGCAGGCCTCCGATAAAATGGAAGTACAGTCTCTTTCTAACGTATCTGTCAAAATGGCCAAACTGGTGAGATAATCAGCCAATTTATGACGGAAGTCTACGGTTGGTGTGGCTAAGCCCACTGCTGGAATTCTAGACTTGATAAAAAGGTATGGGGCACATCCTTCTGTACTGCTTGCTGATTTCAGAACGCGGGTCATAGGCTTAGTAATCGGTCAAATAGGACGTCATCTAGAAACACGTTCATTCGTCACTCTAATGAGTGGCTGGATAAAAACTCTTTACTCATCAACAGAGATTCCCTCTAGAATGTGAAATCAATCAATACTGGAAATCCGAGAAAAAATGTACACCCGTTTCGTCCATACTGAGAACCATCAGCACATCTCAGTGGCAGTTCTGATCCACGGCTTCTCCGCTAGCAGGCGCAGACTGGACCGTTTGGCTACGGGCGGTAGATTAGCCATTCAGTAAGTGTCCACTTGGGGTGAGTTCTGCTTTTGTCAAGTCCTGTCTACGTGCAAGTTAGTCACAATTCTCATCGACCGCTAGTGAACAGACTATGTAGTCTTCACCTAGTGAACGAGAAGAGGACAGGTTTGAATCACCCTGGGAATTGGTGAGAGGGAGCACTTGTGGAATAATTCCTGATCAACCGAATTAGAGTGATTTTTATCACAGGATGGGGTCTCCGTTGAAGAATTACCAAGGCCCATGGTGCTACAAACAAAATTTAACTTGTGAGTTTCGTGGGACTTGCACTATAAATCTTTTTTGTGAATGAACTATCGGTAGTTAGGCCACTATCCTCATGTATATGGATGCAGTCCTTCAGTCTGAAAAAGTTCGTTTCATTCGGAGTGTCAATGCATGGTATTTTCTAGCGCTTAGCTTTTTTAACTTGCTTGCCTTCCTGTTGAACTCGAATTTTTTAGCCCAGTGCCGTCTATGTCAAGGGAAATACTGTGTTCTTCTGTCAAAATCAAGGCAGATACGTATACAAGCTTCTGTTTTCTTGCTTATTTACCGGACCTGTGTATGTTTTCTCCTAGGATCATTGAGTGGGAGACATCCTGAGGAACGTCCAAATATATGTGTCCTTTTTGTGGACTTCCCATGCCGGGTTAGCTTTGGGTTTTGATTTACAATTTGCATCAATGAGCTGTTTTCGAAAGCCTCTGTCTAAAGTGGCTCTCGACAAAAACCGTTCTCATCTGAGAGAAGAACTTGAAAAAAAAATGTCCTGACTTGTAGTGGTTTTCACAAAACCAGGTCCACAAGTCGTCCTGGAGGAATGCAAATTCTGGCCCAAATTTCATCAAGCTAGTCGTTTAGTAAACTACCACAGGACTCATCCGTAAGATAAAGAACGTTTCGATCGAATAAAGTCAAACTTGGTAGGCAGAAAATCAAAGCAAGACGACCTAATAATGTTTTAAATGTCGTCAAGATATTGTCTTCTTTTCAATTTTTCATCGAATAAAGCCAAACTTGGTAGGCAGAAAATCAAAGCAAGACGACCTAATAATGTTTTAAATGTCGTCAAGATATTGTCTTCTTTTCAATTTTTCATGCAACATTTTCCGTTAAGCTGTTTCTGGCAAAACCTCACGGCATCACCATTTATGAGTTTATCCTGTAGACTCCCGCTTGAAGGTGCGGGAATGTTTTTTTTTTGAAAAATCGTTGTTCTGCAAGCAGAATTTCGGAAAACCTTTGAAAAAACTAGTTGCAAAAATATTACGTGTTTGAATCTATGGGCCGCCTATAGATCAGTTAATGGCTAAATATGAATTACCAACTAAACTTTGCATTGTCATTTAAAGTTCGCAAATTTTACTTTGTGTGTTGGACAAAATAAACTTTGTATAAGCTGAGCCATGCTTATGATGCTGCCTTTAGCAATAAGTTTAAAGCCATTTGCTTCAGTAAAAAATAAAAGTGGCAGGGGTTAACTACTGGAAATTGTTTGAATGATGAAAAACTAACGAGGGCTATTAAGCTATTGCTCTAAGTGGTCAGCCGGGGTCAGAATATCTCACCAGAGCAGCACACCGCAGAACGCATTCTCAACCTAAGTTTGGCCTGATCTTACGACTGCTCGAGATGTACGGTATCGGCTGTTGGTAGGCACTACAAATACATCATGTTCATGTAAGGAAACACTGTGTTCACTTCTTCCAGCTCATCACTACGGAGATAAGTCAGGCAGTATGGTAATTCACTCCCATCGTTCGTACACTTAACGCAAGCGGTATTATGCACAACGGTGACCCGGGAACAATGGCGAGTGTTGCCTTACATAGAACTTTACTATGTTCATGGTGATGGAATTGGTTGAACATTCGTTTTTTCACACTGTTTCTTCAACTATGTCTCTAATTAAATAGGCTCAAAAAACAGATCCAGAGAGGAGGGATCCGGACAGCACGATCGCGAAACCACTGGTAGGAAATTACGAACGCATAGAGAGTGGTGTATGTTGTAAACACATTGAGTGTAGTTCATAGAACCGTATTTCTTCTAGCCTCAGACCTAAATACTCTTGTAAAAAATACAAGCATGATCTCTATTGGTAAATCGTACAGGTAGTGCTGAATCTCTTTGCATATGAGGGCTCTCTGAATAAAAACATGATCTCATCAGTTGACCAAAACACTAATTTCGGACCACGAACGGACCGACAGAGATTAAGTTTCTCCGTAGCCTGAGAGCACCAATTCCATGCACTCTAACCGAAACAAATGGGGACTTTATCCTTAGATTTCACATGTTGGTCGTCCCTTTCTGAATCGTCCACGCTCAGCCTCTGAAAAAACATTCTTTTAAATGGATTAAAATTCTCGACAAATACACTTATTTGGTGCCAATTTGATTTTCACCGGAGACTCTCCTGGATCCCGGCAGAATCTCTCATTTATGATGTCCTCCGTTGCAAGTTGGGTTCAAGTGGAGCGTAAGGCTGATGAAAACGAAGACTGCTTCTACACGATAAGTCCAGAAAAAAATAGGGCCGGTCAGTTCTCAGAAAACTTATGAGTAGTTTTCTTTATGAGGACTAATCTCCTGTTTCCTTAGGGTTCGCTATAGGAAATGCATGCCATCCGATACTCACTCTCGAACATTCATACTATCTTACAAGTTAATTTGGAGATCATAATGATATGGACAACTGATCTTGAGTTTTCAGGTCAAGCCTTTTGACTCCGAAGCTTCTATCAATCCTCTGCTGGTTGCCCGCTCTTAGTTTCGATGGCTCACTCTAAGTTTGTGAGTTGTTCTGGGAATAATTGCTTAAGTCTAGTAGGCCGGCAACTCTAGCTTTTTCAACCGAACCTGGACTGATTCATTTGCCATTTTGGAGCGTGATGACCGAGAATATTCGCGAGCGGAGTTAACTACCGGCGGGTCTAACACACCATCTCCAACTTAAAACCCAACTTCGAGTAATTCAAGATTTTCAATGTGTTGGAGAGGGCATGAGAACAGATGTACCAAAATGAATGTGTAAGACCTCACGGCCGGTACACTTAAAGACGACTGCTGCACATCCCCAGTTCAGAGATACTGTTCATGGTGAGCTAACTCGTTGCAACTTTCTTTCAGGTAGCTGGGTTCACAATACCGTTGTTCCAGACGTCACTAGAATCGGCTGGTATTAAAAACTGAAACAGACACTACAACTGTAAGTAAGGGAATCTTGATGGAGATGGCAAGACACTTGGGGCGATGAACACATGATGCGGTTCCGGTGCACCAACCGGGGACAAACACACATTTACCACATGGCCTATTTTTTTCTGTTCACCAGGTAAAGATCACGTTTAACCTGTGTGTCCAGGTGAAGGATCATGACGGACAAAACTGGTGGGCTACTTACCTCTAAAACCTCTCGTTTTGGTAGCAAAACGTCTTCTTTCATCTGCAGGATTGAAAAGACAACAGGATTGGAGCGTAGCGACAAGAAATCTGGTAAACAGCAGTGAACGAAAATGTCATTATAACCGTGAGGGAGGATAAACACCTACATAAGTTGAAGTCTACCTTTCATCAGGCGTGCGGATATAAGTGAGTATATCTAAAGTGGGTAATGTGCACGAAGGAATACTTCAAACCGAACAATGTGAGTAAAGCCGGTGGTTTTAGGCTGACATTTCGAAAGATGAGGATTAAATTTATTAATTAGGATAACGTCTGGTGGTTGGTCTGTTAGCCGAGCTTGACAGTTGGATTGCAAACATTTCATCACCAATCAAGGTGACATCGTCCGTGCGGGTTTGAGTGACGCGGGATAATTTCTCATGGTAAAACTGGCAGTAGGTTGGCGGACACATGATACTGAAAACAGTAATGAAATTCAAAGTATCCATGACAAAAATTATCCTACTATTAGCTCAAATGAAGTGCCAAGGCTATTCACCTCCACCCAACCCCGTTTAGCAAGAAAGTTAACCAGTGGTAAGTTGCAGATTAGGTGTGAGTTTTCATGTTGCATAGGTTGTATGCCTTAGGCAGCTGCGAGAGCGATTCTAGCACGTTATGATCACATTTCAGTGTCAAAATGGACAGCGTGTGTTTGGTTATGGACTGAATGACTGAAAACCGTTAATTAAAACCCATGATATGACAGATTGTTGTAAGCGGTTGACACGGAATGACCGTTGGGTATCGTTCTTGTTGCAATTGTTAATGGCAGTTGACCGTGAGTCATTTAGTGGTATTTTTACTTTTTAGTTCAAAAATCGAGAAGCTGATAGGTGACGTGTCGAAATTTCTGTGGAATAAGGAATTCAGTGATAGTATTTTGCGTGGATTTTGATGAGCTACGCGTTTCAGCTGTCGTTTTAAACCTATTTCATCATTCTAATGACGTGTCGAAATTTCAGTGGAATAAAGAATTCAATGATAGCATTTTGCGTAGGTTTTGATGAGCTACTCGCCTCAACTGTCGTTTTAAACCTATTTCATCATTCTAGTGACCTCCGAATTTTTCCAGAAGAGAAAGAACTGAAATGGTGACTACTTTTTTCGAAGTATTTTCACAGGGAGATTCCGTGCTGTCAATCAGAGGAGCATTGATTCATAGATTTATCTGCACGAGAGGATCGCATTTGAAAATTTTGAAATCTCCTCACACAAGCAACAATTTTCATGGTATTATCGATCCATCGACCGGCCTATCAATCAGCCAAACAACTGGCTTGTGCTCCACGGTTGAAAACGGTCGAATGAACGGCTATATCAAACAACTAGAGCATGCGCGTAATGGCTGCAGTTTTTTCTTTACAAATTTCACCTCCTATCTTCCCAAGTGCTACGCATTAGCTCTAATGAAATTTTGTTGCTAGATAGTGAAAATAATTTCTGTCGCTACATATTTGGCTCCCAAATTGGCGTACCAATCTAGAATTCTAGGGTTCAGCGCGCAAGAGTAACAATAAAATCAAAGAACGCGCTCTACTTGCAGTTTTCTGTACTGTTTACTTTGCGGCACGAGATTGGAGATTTGTTACGCACAGAGTTTTACGAAAATGACACTCAGTGTTCCGCCAAAGTTGAACGTACGTAACAATCTTTGTATCTGTTCCAAGTTGGGTTGACCGAAAACACCGGCAGTGACTTCTTTCCTCGTTGCACTTTCGGCATCAAAATAACCGGATTGTTACAAAGCTGGTGATAGATACATTTCCCGCGCCGTAATAGTTCTGCCTCTAACACATCCCTGTTCTGAGTGTTTTGGGAAAGCAGGAATCGAAAACGTTCAAATTCTTGTTGCTCCAAAGCTGATTCCATTTGGAGAATTTTGTTCTTGAGGAGATAGGAAAAAGTTGGCGTAATGTAGCGACTAAGTCATAGTAAGGATGAATCTACATTAGTCTACATATTCTGAACAGGAACACAAATTACCCCTTCAAATATCCTCGGCAGATTCAAAAACTTCGAAATGACATCATAAACACAGGCTAAATTTTCCAGCGGATCACATAGCAGGCTGCAAAACACATCGCTCCATCTCAGGCTTCCGGTTCTCGTGAGGATTTTGTCAGATATCGCGTGTGACACCATGATTCATCAACAGCCTTCATCCCCGCGGCAAACGGCTACACCTGCATTCGTGTCAACGCAATTCAAACAGCGACACGACACAAAAAATTGAAGGGGTTTCACTTAAAATACATCCCGTTTTTAAACAGCCAGGCTTATTTTCAAAGGCTCTTTCTCAAACCGATGCATATGGTGGACGGCATTGCAATCTCAAGAATTGCAGTCACACAATAAGACAATCCTGGAGCCAGATACATTGATCAGGCGTTTTTCAGTAGTCGATAAGTTCAACGCGATAAAATCAAAACTTAGTACCAAATTAAGTTCGTAGAAATGCAGGAAAACCTTTAGGAAATTCACTTCGACAACTTTCAACGGTAAAAATCTGTCTATTGTGTACTTTGTCGTTCGAAGCGTCATCGATGTAACTCCTTCAAAACACCTGCGCTGGGGCTGACAAGCGACCATCCTGAGTGCATCCAGAAGGTTAAATAGATCCATTTTACAGTGTTAAGAGTGTCATTCTCACGGTAAAAAGTAGCTCTTGTCCCCATTTATGGAGTCGATCCGCAACACCTTGATTTATCACAGGTCACCTCATGAATTGTCCCAAAGATATCACCACAATCCAAAAACACTGGAATCATCTGGGAAATTCAACGACGAAATCATCATCCTGTTGTCTCCTGGCAGATTGCTGACGCATACCCAAAGGCTGGAATGCTGCAAACCTAACTTGGTTCGGCCAAAACACCTCTGTGAAGAGGAGGAATTCCCATTCTGTCACCTTAGAATTGTGCTAGCTTTTTCTTTATTCTTGAATTTTTATGATATTCATGTTGGTACTCCTCAATTCGGTGTTCTCGAGTGTGATTTGATTCACACATAGATTCTAGAGTAACAAAAGCAGTCCCTTTCAGAGAATATTTAAATGTGAATCAGGTTTTAGTCAAATAATCGGTTTCCGGGATGAAATTAGTCGCATCACGTGAATCTTGCTCAATATTGGGCAATTTCCACAAAGTAACTAAATTTGGAAAATGCCGAACCCCTGGAAGTGATGTAAACTCTACAAGGAACCAAAGTAATGGTTCAGAACCTGAAGAAGGTAATATAAAAAAATGCGACATTGTCTAAGAAAAGTTAGGACCGACCGGAAGCATCTCTCTTTTGCACAAATTTTATCAGTTTTAGGGGAGTCTAACGCAAATTTCGACCGTTGCAGGCCACATGCATGTAAATGTGGGGCGGAAACCGTCAGCAACAGAATCGATTATTAATTGATTAAAATTGGGTCTGCTCATGGCTATTGTTTAGGATGGTTAAGCTTCGCTACACCACCGTTATCAAAGAAGTGCTGTCTGTACACAGCATCGCAGTGAAATGTGTAATGCTTCTACAAAAATCGAAACAAGGTGGCCCAAGTGACTGGGAAAATAATTTGGAGCACTGCGATTTCAATCAGCTGGATTCGAATCCATGGGTAATTACATCTTCGCTACTGGTCCCTCTAATGATAATATAAACTAATGGTATTTTATAAACAAGGACCTAGGAAGACGAATTTTGGGATGTTTGACGGGATGCATACTTTTGAACTTTACTGTATCCCATAGTCTGGAGGGTAGCGATCCCCAGGTTGACGGATTCATGAAGTAATTTTCGATGGAATAAAACCTTTGACTAGTTTCCAGTCACGTGCAGAACTGCTATCCTGCTTGATTCTCTCAGAACTTGAGGCACAGTGCTTGAACCCTGATAGAATGCCTAACATTTCCTGAAAGAATATGATATCTACTGAAGCTGCATACATACATACGGTTACCCATGAGAGTTTGTACAGGCTTGTTCATTGAAAAAGCCTTCCTTTTACTGATTTTTGGTGGACGTGTGGTGCAGTTTTTGTGCAATGCACATTCACCCGCTCGCGACCACCAATGTCATTTACGACGAATCTAAACAAACAGACGACCAGGGTTGTGTCACCCCGTTTGGATCAACTAGGCCAAATTAACTCGTTACACGTTAAGCTCAACTGATTTGTATACTTCGTTATCTAGAGAGGACAGAAGTAACGGAGATTGAGCGTAGTCACTCTGCTGACTTATAGGTGGCAATAACTAACGCGACCAATGCGTGGACTGAACAGACATCACGGGACTCCAGAACGATGTGAATGCAACGCAAACTAAAAAGGAAAATGAACAAAAACGCAATGCACGGAAATAATTCCCGTTAAAAATTTGAGGTAATGCCGAATTAGTTACCTTGGATTATCCAAGGATAATTCCTGTGAAAAAAAGCCTCAGATTAGAAAAACTACTATAGTTCAATTGCAATTCATCTCCACTGTACACTGGACAGCAACCTTCGTTTCAAGATGTCAAACCAGAGAGACGCATGAATTTTCGATAACGAAATAGTTTATCAAAATAAGTGCATGGCTGGTTAGTGGTCACCTTCCAGTTGCAAGACTATTGGGGGAGTTTCACGCGAGTCGGATGCATTAGAAAGTAGAGGATTACCTGGAACGATTCTATGTCAGTGGATTAGACGAAAATGGATTGGAGGCACAACCAAGACGGCTTCCCAAGTTCGGCACTACTTAACTGAGAACGGAGTGTTTACACATGTCAGTAATATTGACACAATTAACCAATGAGGCGAGCCGCGAACTGCGTCTTTATCTGGCCAACAATAGCTAAAGCGCAATCACCTAGACCACATATGGATCTCTCGTTTCTACTCAGTTGCTATGCCGTCGGGTTGGGAAAATAAAACCTTTGACCAGTTTCCAGTCAAGTGCAGCATTGCTATCCTGCTTGATTCTCTCAGGACTTGAGGCACAGTGCTTGAACCCTGATGGAATGCCTAACATTTCCTGAAGAACATGATATTTACTGAAGCTGCATACATACATACGGTTACTCATGAGAGTTTGTACAGACCTATTCATTGAAAAAGCCTTTCTTTTACTGATTTTTGGTGGACGTGTGGTGCAGTTTTTGTGCAATGCACATTCACCCGCTCGCGACCACCAATGTCATTTACGACGAATCTAAACAAACAGACGACCAGGGTTGTGTCACCCCGTTTGGATCAACTAGGCTAAATTAACTCGTTACACGTTAAGCTCAACTGATTTGTATACTTCGTTATCTAGAGAGGACAGAAGTAACGGAGATTGAGCGTAGTCACTCTGCTGACTTATAGGTGGCAATAACTAACGCGACCAATGCGTGGACTGAACAGACATCACGGGACTCCAGAACGATGTGAATGCAACGCAAACTAAAAAGGAAATTGAAAAAAAACGCAATGCACGGAAATAATTCCCGTTAAAAATTTGAGGTAATGCCGAATTAGTTACCTTGGATTATCCAAGGATAATTCCTGTGAAAAAAAGCCTCAGATTAGAAAAACTACTATAGTTCAATTGCAATTCATCTCCACTGTACACTGGACAGCAACCTTCGTTTCAAGATGTCAAACCAGAGAGACGCATGAATTTTCGATAACGAAATAGTTTATCAAAATAAGTGCATGGCTGGTTAGTGGTCACCTTCCAGTTGCAAGACTATTGGGGGAGTTTCACGCGAGTCGGATGCATTAGAAAGTAGAGGATTACCTGGAACGATTCTATGTCAGTGGATTAGACGAAAATGGATTGGAGGCACAACCAAGACGGCTTCCCAAGTTCGGCACTACTTAACTGAGAACGGAGTGTTTACACATGTCAGTAATATTGACACAATTAACCAATGAGGCGAGCCGCGAACTGCGTCTTTATCTGGCCAACAATAGCTAAAGCGCAATCACCTAGACCACATATGGATCTCTCGTTTCTACTCAGTTGCTATGCCGTCGGGTTGGGAACAGAACAAAGATAAAAGATGCTAACTTGCTAACTAATTCATTCCTAACGAAAGATGGAGTCTCTGCCCCCCTTGATTTTGACCAATTGGACGTGCTGCACCAAATCTGTCTTATGGTTCAGTTGGTAGATCAGTCCAATAATCTTAGAAAGTTTTCTTGAGCGGATGCACTGCTCACAAAGTGGCTGAAAACTATACGACACCTCACTGAAGATTTCATCCTTATTGGGCTAATTGAATAGGTGCAGTCCCCGAGTTTCCATCAATCTCATAAGAAGCATGTTTTGTCAAAGATGCATAATGCGACACCTTGAATGTCATACCAAAGGAAACACGAGGCGATCATTCTGCAGCCAATTCATAAAAAAGCGCTTTGGCTTGGATTTATCTGAGGTAGTTCAGATACAACACTCGATATGCGGTTAGAAAAGCGAAATTCACGAGTAAGTAAGGACCTAAAATGTTGTGTTTTAATTAACTAATGTATTTTATGAGTGTACAAATAAGCCTTACCTTATGTATCTCTTCCAGTCGCTGCTGCAGATAGTACATTGACTCCTGATCGTTCAGAACGACTTCGGATCTGTGACATATTCGGACCAACCGTCGTTGAATTTCTTTCACAGCTTGTGGGCTACAATAGAAGTGTTGACACAGACAGAGCTAAGCGGACGCGTAGAAAAGAGATTTCGCGGTAAGGATGTGTATGTTTTACCGTTTTTCTTCCAAAGATGTTATTTTATTTGCACCTGCTTAGAAAATGTGAGCAAGGGTTTCATGAATGTACTATTATTCAAGGTCCACGGCTGATCAGTCCACCGGGAATTTATAACCGGTCATCTATTCGACCGTCTAAGTGTTCACTGAATCTTTGCAGCTCACTCACATTGCCGATAAAAAGATGAGTCAAACTCTCTAAATTACAATAGAAAATGCTTCCCGGTAAAAGGCATCAAGTTACTCCCTGTGCGATACCGACTAAGAAAAGAAAGTACAGAAAGCATTTGGTAGTGCGCTGGAATATTGGTAGCCCGGGTGCATTGGTTGGTAATTGAGCAGGTGGCTGTTGATCTGTTCGCCGAGCTTGGAAACTGATTCGCAAACGTTTCGTTACCATTCGAGGAGCACTGAAGATGTCTCCTTGTGATTCGCATGAACTATCTGATGCGTTGATGATTAATTGTGAGGAATGCTTCCTTCCCTCAGTTAACCTAAACACTTACTTCTTCAAGCCAACCAATCATAAGAACCACTGTCTTTCTGTTTGTCCTGATTAAGCACAAGTAAATAATTCTTGTCATTTTCATGTAAATGGAAAGGTCCTGTATCAGCTTTTGACAATAACGGTAGTCCCACCCAGGTATTTCGCATCAATCCAACTAGCATTCTCTCAAATTACCCGCATTCTCTGGTTGTGATTGTTTGGAAATTGTGACACTCTATTTCAGTTGAAAAGATGCAGCATGCTCGCCCTACCCAAAAGTTGTAATGTGGGTCACGTGTACTAAAGCCCAGAATACAAATATGGTCTGCCCCATCTACCATTCCTTCACTGTCTGTTATGTATTTTCGTTAACATATTGTTTAGAAACTTGATCCCTAATATTGTAAGTATGTTTCATAAACTGAGAGAACACATTGTTTTAGACAGCAGTTAAACAGTCCTGTCATTGCCATCACGTTTTGGACAACTTTTCTAGCTTCTAACCTCTGTAGGCCTTTTAAAACAAGAATTTAAAAAATGCTCACTGCATCCGTGTACGGTCGATTCACCATGCGAATAATTTGTATGTGTATCAGGAAGGTCAGGTTCTTGAAATCAACCACTGAGAACTTCAGCTCCGCTAGGTGCTGATCAGACAGACAACGCCACTCATTGTGCAGCACGTCACAACCTTGAAAGTAACTGAATAGCAATGAAGGATATGGCAAACGAGAATAATTATTCACCTGTAATTTTTACTTAGTTCTGCAAGGCTTAATCCGAAAAGAATCTGGCGATCTTGTCTGTATCGATAATAGGTTGCCCGTGGGTTGCATTCGACTATCAAAAGTTGCAACAGACGCCGCAAAATGTTGAGTCCATCAGGATCGTTTGAGACAATCGATAGCCTACAGAGCTCATTCAACTGCTGCGACCGAAACATTTGCCTCATTTTGAAATATACGCTTCGTCGAGGTATTACTATCGTGCTGGATCTTTTCCCCTCTAGGAATTTGCTGTCACTTTGAGTCTTCCTCGGTGATAATGTGCCAATCGAAGTAGCTTCCCATTGACTCTCCTTGTCGGCTTGCGAAACTGTAAGAAAATCATCGTCTGCCATGACGTCGTCTTCCGATGTTGTCTCTGCTTCTTCCAACATAAAACTCGATGGAGCTTCGGGGCTGTCAGACCTATGTTGCGATACTTCTTGAGGAAAAAGTTTTGGTTTTCTGGTTTTTGCAACCTTCTTGTCTGATTTCCTCAAAGGATTTGAGTAGATGGGAACTGTTGATCTGGAAGACTATATAAACATCATAGCCGACTTTAAACTGGACGAATATTACGAAAAATGCAGTGGTTGCTGTTAAGTTAAAGAACTTGGAAGAATCAGACAGGTTCGCTAGCTAAAGAGCGGTATTCATATGATGAAAGGATGGTTTAGCGATCCATATCGTTATTCTCAAATATGAGCACGTCGCAGGGAAACACTAGATGAAAATATTTCTATGACTTATCATCAGTGAAAGACAACCCTTTGGTTGTGGAATACTGTTAACGGTAGCAACTAGCTCCCAATGCAACTCACTGAGTAATAAAAGAGTGAATGTCTGTTTCAGGCAGCGTTGCTACTCCGTTTCTTCTACACTTATCTTCAAGTCAGGTTGTTTTTAGCGGTAAATACTATTCGCAGATCATCTGATAAGACAGTTCAATCCCGCGGAGCTAACCGTTGTCAGCAAACAACTTTCGATAAATGGCACGATGGCATTCGAAACCGGTTTGTCTGTGAACAATCCTTAGAACACCGGAAGAATGCACCCTCCCAAACAACATTAACGGTTTGCGCGCAGCCATGTTTGTTACTTCCAGGAGGCCTGTGAATCCACTGCGAGTCCAAAGGAGCAGAATAGACAGCAGAATCGCACTAGTGGTTCGAATTGATTAGGGAACAGTCAGAACGACAACAAACACTTATACAATCTTCCGAACTTATAAGAGCTTTCGAGCCTATTATGGTTTGCTACAAGCCAAATGAACTTAGTGACACGAAGTGGTTCTCTCTCACTCCCGTGTTACTGTTAAACTTTCTGGAGGGAGTTCCACATGCTCGAACATTAGTTTTTATTCCAGGATGGAAAGACTTGACAGGCTATTCCCTGATGAAAAAAATTTTACGTTGAGTCTTCACTGCTCACTTAATCAACGAATAGAGCAAGTAGCGGCTGTTGGCTTTTGGGGTGTTTCTGCTGTATTTGTTCCAGTGATGAACGCAAATAAACCGTGCTATTCTGGTACGGAGTTCGCACTGTTTTTGGGGGCATTTGACGGTGACTGATGGCCCTATGGGCAGCAGCTGAAATTTCGTCTCTCGTCCTTCGATTTTCAAGCAGATTATTAGGTTGACATAAATTCCTAAACAACACCTATCTGGTGAGTCTCAATAAGGGGGGAACCCGGTCGTGAACTCTAGAGGGTTTTCAGCAACCTTACGAGTATAGTGTCCCGCCGACAATATATGCTGCAATATCTAGAATATTATCTGAGCTAAAACATGAGACAATTTCTACGCAGCACATGTATTTGGTAAATGTCAACAACGAGAGTTTCATCTGGTCTCCCGTTCATACCAAATTACTGTGGAAACGAGTGAACTCACGAATCTCCTCTTTAATCTCTTTCATTTCTCCTGTGAGTCCACCCGCCTCTTTAGGATGTGTCAGTATTGAACCACGTGTTATTGGTGGTGGATTAGTGTAGTGCATGTTTAGAAAAAGGCTTTGGTTATTACCATTCATTGGTCCTATTCCAAAGGGACCCTCTGTATGTTTTGAAATTTCTGAAGCCTAACCAAATGGACCACTAAAATCTCATCAGGAGCCGAGGGTCATGGGCAAGTATTGATCGAGCGGCACTGGATGGATGGCGTGAAATTTTGCCCAAACAACTACCAGAGAATCTAAGCATGACAATACCCAGGCAGATCGCTGGAATTCTTCAAAACGGACGGCCAGTAGAAGTCAGGGATATATGTCAAAATTCTTTTGGATTTTCAAAAGGTGTTTTAACAGCGATCGGTGACTGTCTGAATCAATCAATTTATCAGCTGTGAACCATGTGTCATAGTCACACTGGTTCCAGCTGATACAATTCCGATCACCGGAAAACAGGAAAGTGGAATCTACCACCAAGCCCTGGAGGCGAAAGCATGTTCAGTTTGTTCTGAAATAGGGTAGCTACGCATTGAAGGCAATTTCTTTGATGCACGAGCGTCACTGACTGCGCGGTTGGTCATTTCCGTCAATGTCATTAATCACTGGTGGCTTGAGTCCTGGCGACTGCCTAATATTGGCAGATTGTATTGTCGTATTACACAAACGGCTGCATCAAGTACTGAAGCAATTCCAGCAACGACAACCTAAAACAAACATACTGAAATACTCTGCCAAAAGTTGTTCTTTGGTATCCCATTGGTGTGAGGGTTCAAAAATTTGTCTGTATTTGCGGGCGTTCTGCATTAGTGGCCAAGTTCTCAATCAGACCAAATTTTTCTTCGATTGGAAACAAGTGCCTTTGTACACCACTGGTCTAATCACTATCAATGCGTTTCTTAACGTTAACGTGAACTGTTTATCATTAGTTGGAATTTCACTACAGAAAAGATTGTATCACTGGTGGACTGTCTATACACTTTGGAGCCTCGGTTTTGCTATTCCCAGTAGGTATTCAACCTTTATACAACTCATCCTACCATCCACAATAAAACGGTCAAGAGTAACTCCTAGTTGATAGTTTCAAAATGGGGCTCACAAAACTGGAAAGCAGAGGAGACGTCAAAAATGCATCAAAAATCTTTTTCAGTCATACCGAAAGATACCTAGTGACTTGATGAAAAACGAACAGTCTCTAGCCGAGACATTCCTAGGTTGACGCAGGCAGTGTCTCTGAAAGCAGAATAATGTAATTTTATGAGAAACTGCCACTTGGAGAAGTAGTTCATGGCGAAAACTCAGTAACAAGGCAAACTCATATATCTTTACTCCCAAAGCCCATATTCGAGGAAGAAGTTTCCGAGAAGGCTGAGAAGACTGGACACTCGGAGTGGTTGTGCGACACAGTGGAAACGCAGCGTACAAGGCAAAGGCCAAAAATTTTATCCGGATTCATACTATGAATCCAGTGTGTATTCGATACACAGGGTCACCGATCAGTAGCACCTCACATCCTGTTATTGCGATCTGTCTTGATTGAAGGCGATCTTGAGCAAACCAATGTGACCGAAACCTTAGCCCACTTCTCCACCACCCACCACAACCCACATGAGATAGTACGTAAACTCCAGGCCAGTTACAAAGAACCCGACTGCCAATCTAAGTTTTAAATATCACAGTGAGTAACTGAATTTGCTGTGTGGTCAATCGTCCTACAGCGCTGTTTAACACTTTGTTGGCGAATTCTAATCCTAATTTCTCCATTCCCTGAGATTCCACTGCACTGATTTGTGTACTCCATTCAGCAGTACTCTTGACACGGTGTCAATATCAGGGTCTTCTTCCTCAGGCTGATCGGATGGCAGTTCCCTCTAGCGTTGACAGAATGACATTTGACTACTGCCCACCATTCGGCCCATGACATTCCTCCCTATCCAATAGAGCTCTGGCGTTCCAGGATCCAAGCTTGCATTGTCGAGGGCAGATGCTCCAACTAAAAACTTCCGTTATTGGTTTGTCCAGGAAATCTGGATGAAATCTGGTGGCTCCCACACAATCAAATATATTTGTGTCGTTAGAGGAATTGTCATCAACGTATCGTGGTATACGTGCATGCTTCACGAATTACTCCATTTTCAGTAAGGACTTCCGGCTTATAAGGATCCATGTCAACATATGGATCTAATCTCCGTAAGCACATGGGGCGCCGTAACAAGTAACAATTAACAATACCATTCATTTTACGCCTCTGTCGATTATGACTTACCAAGCTCAGGCTTGATTTGTTTCGTCTCCTAGTTTGTTTAGCTGTTGGCGCCTAAAATGAAGGACATTGGGCAAACTAGTTACGGATGTTTTTTGCAGTTATCTAAGTCTTGTGTTTGAAATAGCACGCAAATTTATGCTGGGATAAATATTTTTCAGCAAACAACAACAAAAACGTGCTTAAGAGGTCGGTGGTTGCACGCAAATTTTGACCTTAAACGCTGAATCCCCTTATATTGTTTCTGTTAGACGATGGTGCCTGGTTTGCCCCGGGCTTAGGCGTGCTTTGTGATAAGTCATTCTCCTAACGACGCTGCGTGATTCGTTCTACACATTTTTTCAAGGTAGCTGCGGCCAAACTAGTACACAGATGTCCCATTTTTCCGGTGCTTCTTCATGGATGCAAACTTTTGGCTTTTTCAGATAATCACAATACATGTGGGTGTGAGACATTGTTTCAACACTGCGTATCAACTGTTGTTCTGGCCGACAGATTGGTTGATGTATAAACTAAAGAAGTCATAGTCTCTGAAGGAATGGCTCCAAGCAACATGTAAGCTCATCGATGATAATTCGAATTTAGACGTATGCAAAAAGGACGGATACTAGAGACATTCAGATGTCAGTTGGAGCGAATGGATGAAGGGTTTGGCACGATTGTTGAAACCGTAATCTGTAATCATAAACAAGATCACCACTAGCGTGTGAAGAAACCCGCTCTTGACTACTGTTTCAGATACACCGCTAATGCACTAGGTCCCGTCCCGTGACCTGACTGGTACATCATGCAGTGGAGGTGAATTGAACTGTCCTGGAAAGTGGATGACTACTGAAAACACCCTTTTGTTGACAGGTGTCAACATTTTACCGGAACAACTGGCCAGATGCCACATTTTTGCACTAGTTTCGCACTTTTGAGGAAGCAGACAAACTAAATTTCCGACCACATTTTATAACATCCGAATGCGTAGACCTCCGGGTTTCAAACACTGGTTTGAGGGCTGCAGAGCAGTTTGCCTAAACTGAATTTTAGTTTTTTTTTTCGCTGTCCTGATGTTACCACTGTAACGACGACGCAAACGTAGACGGCTTTTTTTCACTAATGTATTTACAGCAATATAAGTAGACTGAAAGACTGTTACTTTTTGTTGTTTGTGATATACATACATAATAGCATCCCTATTCTGCAGATATACAGATTACTTGAGAATGTAGCATTTACGTTCACTGTGTAATAAAAGTCTGGTTTAGAATCGGGCTTTCTTTTTGAAACGTCAACAATTTGGACTGCTGTTTGATATCCTTTGTTTCTTGAAAGTTCTGTAGGAAACCACTTTCAGCAATAGCTATAGTTTAATGGTAGCTGGGATTTTAGTGGACCTGGTGTCCTATTCTGAAGACCCACTACCCCTTATTGGGAACCGTTAATCAGCAAGGTCGGACAACACAGCTAATAAATGAAAAGCATACCATAACAAATTCACCGTAGTCGTGGCTCAAAATGGTTGAGACAAGTATGTGCGAGCTGTCAACAGTGGGGTGGCCGGGTTATTTCCATACATGTACTAGTGTTCCCGTAGAAACCCAGCTAACTTCTGAAACTACTGAAAAACATCAGTAGTGCACACCTCAAGAAAATCCAGGAATTTTTGAGCCCAAAACCTCCCAGCTAACGGCCGAACAGTTAACTGTTCTGTCACCGACGGATGATCAACAGCGTAATTAATTTGCTTCAGGACGGGAAATTATGACATCCCTGAATAACAAGGTCACGTGTTGATGGTGTTGTTGAGTCACCTTTACTCAAATTCAACATATATCTCATAATTTCACCTAGATTTATTTGAAGTCCATCAAGTTTTGACGTGAAAGTTAGATCACAGCAAAGTTAGTAATCAAGATCACTACAAATACTGCACCAGAGCTAAGTATTCTTTGGCGCACTTTACAGGAAACTGCCAGCATGGTTTTCGTCATTGATAACCACAGATGGCCATTATAAAATGTTAAACAGTGCTATTTTTAGTGCTAACCTTCAAATTGTGAGAAAATTCAGCAAAATGACTTAAAATGTCTGTGCATTGAGGTGATTCTCGGTCTTGTTCATACGAACTATCCAAAGGAAACTTCATGTACGGGTTGACGAATGTATCGTACAAGCAGTCAAAATGGCTTCTCTGGTCATTTGATTTTCCTTTCCTAATCGCTGTTTTCACTTTCTTAAATTTCTGGGATTTCAGTTGGACTGGAATAGCTAATGAGTAATCGTCAAATGCGTTTCATAGTTGGGAAAATTTGCTATTCTGGTCTTGTTCACTTTGTTTCGATTTCCGCCTTCGAATAAACACGGAATTTGAAAGGACAACAAATAAACCGAATGAGGTTGAATCTCCTCTCCCGCTGCACATCAGTGAAAGGCAACGCGGTCGGGATAGGCTTAATGCATTTTTCTATCTCGGACTAAGGAAGATCCGAAACAACAGAGTTTTTCCACAAACCTGTCTAACTGTCCGGATGGATTTCATTTCATGAGTTGGATTATTTTTTGTAATATGAATCAAATTACGGTTATGCCAAAGCTCGAAACTAGTCTAAACCGACCGGTTAGTTAGCTGAAGTCTAAATAATAGGATTGCCGTTGACCTTTGACAATATGGTGAAGTCGAAGACAGATGTTAGCTCAAAGCTATGCACGAAAATGCAACATGCTCCTGTATTCATGGCCGGATACTTTTACAGTAGGCTCGAAAATCTATGATTATTCATGGTCATTTTGCGCAACGTTTTCCACTCAGCAGTTACATATGGAAAAAGTAATGGGCCAGTGGATAGAGAGAACGCTTTTGAGGAAAATTAGAGTACTTACTTTCTTCTTGGCACTTGATAAAGCTATTTCCAAGTCCAAAATAGTGGACACTGGACGACGCCGAGCGCAATGCTGGAGAGAGAAAAAGGAATCAATCAAGGCTGACTACCGGTATATTAGTTATCAAAAGTTCGTATTTAGAGGTATAAATCAATTTCTAACGGCCCTGAATGCTACGACTTGGTGCAGTCATCAAGCCAGTAGTAGCGCCGCGTATTAAAAACATATAAATACTAATGAGATAGATAGATACTGAATTAAGCGTGAAATTCTTGCAATAAATGAGGCCATTTATCTGACGAGTAGGCTAAAGTGAAACAAGGTGCACCTCAATAACTTTCCGGAAATACTGCGCAAACTCAATTCCATGGTATTTTTGATCGACTGAAGTAATCCCCTTTTACCTCTAGAAAAGTAGGTTATTTCCCCTCTCAGAAGTTCGGTTTTCTTGTGGTTCCCACATCCGCGTTCATGGCTTTAAGAGAACGCTTTTGAAGATTACAACTTGCCTTCAGAAAGAATGCTGCCGGTTACCAGTAATGCACAGTCCTCTCTGTGAGCTACCAACTACCCACGATCAAAGGCAGAGTCGAACCCTTAAGATCGAAAAACCCTAAACAGCCAATCACAGGCAGCGTTTCATGTTGTTACTTCAGTTTCTGTAAATTAAGTATGTATGAATAACTTCACACATTTATTGGCATATGATTACGCCAAGACTTCATTTTCGATGATGCTCTCCTCTTAATTTTACCTAATGACCTTTCCAACATGGTTTTTAACTGCAGTTAATTGGTGGAAATATACAAAGGTGGATATGAATTTCTGTTAAGATCACTCGGGTTGGATTCAATCAACAAAGTAAAAAAAACGCCACTAACGTGACAAATAGTTATAGGACGTATGGCCGAATAGTTAGTTCATTAAGTGGGACAAATTTTAGGGAGCTAACTTATGGGCTCACAAATGCAAGGTTACGTATAAGTAATCTAGTAAAAAAATAATCAGCTGTGTCCAGCCAGAGTAAGGATGCATTGTAATCGTGGCAGAATCTAAAGAACCGCTTGAATGTAGTCTTCACGGATACAGTGGCACATTCGTGGTCGGAAAACTTTGCAGTAGATCAATCGACTACTCTATAACGTCTTGGAATGCTGAATTCTCGACGGTTCGCAAACATTTCTAGAGGACTGCTGTACTCAAAAGCAAACTTATGGTAATGGAATGGCATTGTGTATTCAACTGCTGAAGCCTTGAGCAAGAAGAGACAGACAACCATGGCGCCCCTGAAAAAACAAACCTAAATTATTTAAATCCAATGAGATTATTTTTAAGGTTGTCAAAAATGTATGCTAACGAAAATTTTGAAGCTTATGGAGTTTCCACTGTATGTCGGTTGCAGTATCTCGTCAGACTCCGAAGCGGGGTTGTTGAGAAGCCACATTCTGCACAAATTTAACTTTGTTGAATTAGAATTCATTTTCCGAAAACTCTCTTGTCTCCGACCCAACAATCCAAAAGATGAAGAAGTATTTCTTTAGGCTACTCACCGGATGAACGGTAAACAGTTTTCCGGCTTTCGTGTGGTACCGTCTGGGTGTGCGGTAACTGGCTCCAAGGGATGTCACTGGAGGACGATCCGATTGGATTTTGGGCAGGCTTTGACATTTTGGATAGGGAATTTCTTGTGCAGCGATGGCTTTGAGGTAAATGTCGGCTGGAATAGGAAAATTTGGAATTTAAACGCCAACACTGCTGTGAATCATCATGATCCGCTGAATTCTATTCATGATTAAGGCGAGGCGTTGAAGGCGACAGACCTTTTCACCAAAAGTCAGCCTCTAGGTGACAGGGATGAATCTTTTAATGTCCCTATCTTCAGGCGTTTCACAGTCCAAAGTCTTTTGGCAGTAAATCCACCGATGCCGGTGCTTGTAATTTCGCCAGTTTTGACTTTCATTTTTTACAACTAAATCAATGAGTGTCTTTAAATCGCCTTCGTTCCATACACCTGAGGTTTTCTGCGGGCAGATGGTACTGCAGTATGTAGAGTACCCGATCATTTTGCTTTCCCAGGAAGCAACCATTCAGGTTTGATTTTGTTGTCACAAAGGATAGACGTTGCAGGTTTTAGAGAAGGCCTTAGTTTTTTCCAATTTCACACTTAAATTCTCAAACAAAAAGGGTCCTATGAATTGGCCGTGTCCTAATGAAACGGAAACGGCAAACAGAAAAAAAACAAACGAAAAAAGTGGTTAAAAATAGGGGTTGTCCAGTCGATTAATTAAATGGCATAGAGTAACATGAGAAAACCAGTATGGACTGATCGAAATAAAGGAAGAGAACCATTGAAGAAAGCTAACCAACGAACTAATCAGATACTTGTTAACCAAACCACAATGCAACGCAAGTCCCGCAGTTTCCAATCAAATAAAGTGTCAGACAGCCCTCAGACAACCAATCTCGCTGCGGATATTAACTATCCTATGGAAACTACATAAAAATTAGCAGCAATGGAGGAATCACCCATCTAGTGGAACAGTGGCGATTTCTTCTAGCAGGAGGACGAATCGTTTGCAGACCAACTGCCACACTCGGCGAACAGATCAACCGCCATCTAGTTAACAGCTGTGTATTTTTTCGACTTCGCCTCGTACATTTTAGACCCTTTCACTTGCATTCTATTACTAGACTTACTTAGGGCATCTAATGGGCATTTGGGAGCTTTCGGCAAGACATTTGACTGTCTGTGAGTTGGTTGCTTTCCTACTGTTTCCTTGCTGATATAGTCCGCCAGATCCATGGTAACGCGCCCCACTCTCGCAGTGAGAAGCTGAATGTTGACTGGATGAATCACTCGGTACACTAACTTCTCGGAGTTGAGACTCACGCAGTCCTTGTCGATTTCATATGTTTTTAACTTGGGTATCGAATTAGAACATAGATTTTGGACAAGATCCCTTTGCGATTGAACAGATAGGTAAAGTGGTTCTTCGCTCAACCGATTTGTTTCATAGAATGATGTCGACTTCTCAAGTGCGTGTTTTTTCACGGTACCCGTGGAGGTTGCGGGAAGTTTTCTCGGTTTCTTTCTGTTAGATTCCTTAAATCCTAGATGCATTATTTTTGGATGACCTGTACCAATCATGCGTGGCAGAACTGACGGATTAGCCATGGTTTGTACACTTAATTTTTTTTCACTGTCAGAACGTCGTCCAAACACCAATTTTGGTGAAAATTTGTTGTTACATATTGATGTATTCGCGACACAGAATTCAGAAAACTCGTTGTGGAATCCTTCTGTTCCATATCTTAGTTTTTCTCCCATTTCTTCACATTAGAACAGCCTGCCCAAAATCGAAGTTACACGGAAAGCAAGATCAGGTGACTCTTTGTTGTGCATAGGGAATTCAAGCAACTGATCAATAATCAGCCACGCGTATTTATTTTCATTCCTAATAAGTGACAGACTAGATGATTCTGTCAACAAGTGAAGAGACTGTTTACTAACTTTATTTTTTTGGATGACGACATTCCAAGTTTTGATGCACTAAGCCAACTCGTGACAAGCGGCTTATCTTATGAGTGTTGCCTCTTCGGACAGCAACGCAGCTTAGAATATAAGGTTGACTGAAACTCGCTGACTGCGACTACCTGATGAGCTCCAAGAAAGGCACAACCGGGTGTGGGCTGTCGAAGAGCTTTCGGCAACCTTAGGAGTAGTGCGTTACGTCTATACGTGTATCGCGATATCTCGAATATCGTACCAACTGGCACATAAGGCGGCCTGGTGCAACGCATTCAGTCGCTTAACAACTTCATAAACAAGAGATTCGGCTGGGTTCCAGGGGGCCTCCAGTCAAGACCAAATTTGTATGCAAATGAATGTACTTCGCTAATTTCACACACTTTCGGTTCAATTAGCAAATAAGGTTGATGCAAACTCTAGGGCTACGCCTACCTGGTGTTCCCCGTGAAGGGAGAAACCAGTCGTGATAAGCTTCCAGGGACCATATGAGTTGTGTATTAGGTCTGTACACGATGGGGACTATGTTCCAAGCATAGCTCCATCTGCACGATGGGGGCATGGTTTACGTCGCAAGCGGCTACCTCGGTTAAACTCGCCTACAGATTACCCGGAGTCATATTAAATGTTCAAAGCGACCAGTAAAAGAATAAACTCCCCTCAGCGTTTCCAGAAAAGACCTATCCCGCACAATAAAACAAGCGGCAACGCGAGATTGTGTCGTTTGATTCATCAGCTTGGAAAGAATGCAAAAGAAATGCGCTCATTTGCACAGCTCATTACTTGCTAATACTGGTCACGTGGTTAATCCAATCTAAAACAGTCATCACCATCATTATCAAAGACAGCAACATCAGTGTTGGCCCTGATGCTTCACCGCCGTACAACCATAAGGTTCGTCTAGTTATATATATATATATATATATATATATATATATATAT